CACTTCAAGGGGTAGCCTGAGGCAAACATAGCCCAGTACCACAAACCTTATATGCTGCTTGGGGGCCTCAAAACCTCTGGTAAATATTTCATGGATAATTCATATTTCTCAAATTTCACCCCTGGGAGTCACAGAAAGCAGCTGTTTTGCTCCTTCCACAAACACGAAAACACAAACTTAGGAGATGCCATTAGCAACATAAGTGCCACCACACCCGTGCTTTCATTGAAGCATGTTGTCTATGCCTTGTTGGTCAGAGGTGTTGATGAGAGTATGGCAACACTGCATTCCCTTTTTTTTAAGTTTCCAAATTCTTAAGGACTGGATTCCAATGCTGGCTGCTCTTGATGGCATCGAAGGCAAACCCTGGTTAGGAAACGTTTGAAATTTGCATGAAAAGCCCTTAGCAAGCATATCACCTAAATCAAAATTTCAGTCCAATAATAAATCATGTGTAAATATCGTACATGTAACAATAACCCATCTTCCTGGGTTATTGTTACATGTCCTAACAGCAAACCTGTTATATATAAATAACCCATCTCCTAACAATGGGGTGAAACAGGGTGAACATTTCACCCAAATTTGTCTTTTTTTGGGGGGGGTATGATTGACTTTGCAGTTTAAATACCATACAGAAAAGTTGAAATATTACTTGCAAACTTCAGACTGAAACCATTTGGTGATATTCTTGGCTTGTGGCAGCGTTCTTTTTTTGTCAGCAAGAACAAGTCTAACTCACTGGAGCACAGACTGAATTATGCTGGAAAGATCCACGCTGTACCAACTAAAACTTCTTATTACACCTTTCCACTCGTGTTACCATTCAAACCCAGTTACTTAAGATGTATTAACCTCATAAGTTTCATGTAAAGACACCTACATATGTAAATTGGAGGACCCCAACGAACACAAGGCCAACTGTCACTCCCTTAGTACATGTACCTATGTGAGGTCTTTGTGTCAAATCTAACAGAATATAAGTTGCCTAGTTGGCAGTATACACCATCTGACGTATGTATGCATACTTCCCGGCCTAACCTGACTGCATATATACTGAGAGGATAAATAGCCCTTCCAGATGTTGGCAATACGCATTTCTGTCATACAAAATCTAGTTGTCCATATGTGTGTAGCACTTCCAGATTTCAGCAAATAATAAAATACAAACACTTGTTCACACAAATATATCATCTGCCATACCACAATCTAGCTCTGTTCTTTGGGAAAATCTTTTGACCATGTTTATAAAAAGAACAGATGCGTTTTGAATTAGATTTTTACAATACATTTATTTTTAAGTTTTACACCTTTCACATACAGGCAGGGTTATTTTATTAAAATAAAGTGGTGTTTTGGCCACTCTATTCAAGCTTTTTTGTCCACAATTATGCAGAAACTTGTTTTTTGTCCAAATATATCAATTGTGGCAAAATGTGCCCACGTTCTAAGGCATCATTAATATTTCCTCCTCTCCAAAATGACACAAGTCAGCCTTTAAATTAATTTACATTTCAATTGAATTTCCATTCAACTGAAATGTATCATACCACCAAAGATTATTGTATGTTTATTAATAACAACTACCGACACTGGCAAGTAATGATTTAGCAAAGTTTTCAACAACTACAGCAACAAAAATGGAATGCTCATTTCTCTGTCACAGCAACCTTATGTACATATGCTTTTCATTTCTGAATATTTGGACACAAAGAAAAATGAATCAAATCATCAGTAATCTGTGGAATATTTGAAAATGCAAATCCTCAGCACAGCCCTACTGGTTCGTGCTGACACAAAGACCCTGACTGGCTTAGCTGTACATGTACATCATGCACAGAAAACTCAAACAGGTGTGTCTTTGCTTGATGCTAACTGTATCAAGACAAGGCCAAAAATTTGTCTTTATTAAAAAAAGAATCATGAATGTCAGATTGCTACACTGAATTGCTTTTACAAACACAAAATAAAAAAAAATAGAAACGAGCCTTCTTGGTTTAGCTGGGTAATACATACCAAAATACACAAAACAGTAACAAAATAAAACTTTCTTCTGTTTACATTATTGGATTACGAATCTGCCGCACTCCAAATACAATTTAGAGAAAAAATTTTTAAATAAACATTTGATTCACGACAGTGTTTCTTTGTGTTTTGAAAAACTAAATAATGGACACAATTCATTTTTCCCCTCCTCTGACCCTAGATATGTAAATTATACAGGAAAAACTGGAACATTGGAATTTGATTTTGATTTATTCCTTCTTCCGACCTTGCAAGATTTCATGCTATGTTCATAACCCAATACAAAAATATTGGCCTTAGGAAAAAAAGTTAAAGTGCCCTGTAAAGTTCAGAAGTGACAGCCTACACAATGATCCAACGCGCCACAATCCGAAAGAAAAAGAAATTATCTGAGTGGTGTCATGCTCACGGGCAGATTTACACATGCGCTCAAATCCCTCAACTGACCAATGGCCAGGCACGCAACGAGGACATCAGAGAGAAAGGGAGTAAGTGTTAAGCTCTGCAAGGTCTATGCAGGGTGGTCCACCTGGCGAACAGCAGTGCAGCACTCGCCAGGAGAAAAAGAAAGAGGAAACCTGCTGATCAGTGGGAAAATAAAGCTGCATGCATCACAGGCTGGCGACAACTTGTCTTAATACAAACGTACCCAGATGGTCAATTCATGGACAAGCGAAACATGTATGGTACCAACTCAGTAATGTCTTCTCACTGTCGGGGCAAGGTCAGTCTGCCAGAAAAAGAAGGTCTTTCGAGTTCTATATAGAAGTCACTATAATTTACAGAAAGTACAAAATGCACGTGGAAGCTTAATTCAAGGAAAATAGCGTAAAGTTAAAGTAGAACGAATTTGAAGCCGGTCAGCATTTGCCCTACATATGTGAACATAGCAAAAATAAAACAATCTTTACATTTGAGGACACAAACAAACCACCAAACCCTATATTGCCTCTTTTACAGCACCCAGTAGACAAAAACAGATTTTCTAGCTCTCATCAACAAACTATTTCACAGAATAAACTAAAGTCACCGAATTAACATATTGGTAACAAATCTTTGACAATCTTTCCCTCAGTAAAGTGGTTTCTAAAAACCAAATGTGGTTACTATAGAATGCGCAGATAGTGTACAAATGACTTTGTAAATATCAGTACAGTGAAAGTTCTGTGAAAGTTCTTTGCAACAAACCAGGGCCCAATGAAATTAACCTGCCAATCAGAAAACATCTCCCAGAAAAACTGATGTGACAGGCGGAAGTCAGCGGCAAACCCCGTTGAACATGCATGATATGTCGTTTTTGGCTGATGAACCTGTTTCTGCTCATCAAATCAGTTTCTTTGTAAGCACATTTTGGTGTGATGCACCCAGTGGATTGCACGGAATAAAGTGACTTTACACTCTAGTAATTTTGCACACTTCTGTCGCATTAGGGCGCGCTTATTAAATTCTATGGTTCTCATTTCTTTTACCACTTGAGATAAGGTCGGTCGGTCGGTCGGAAAAAAAAATCCTTTACAAAAAAATTCCATGTTGCTAGTGAAGTGCTATGCACGAACCTCAGTGGGCAATGGAAAGGTGCAGTATACCGAACGTTCACGCGAACACCGACCGTCGCTGTTGGTTGTTTGCAAAGTCCTCAAGGCTTTTGTTTTCAGAGGTCATGCTGGCTAATTTTTTTCACGTCAGTTTTTTGGATTTAGGTCTTTTTAGCAGGGTTGGTAGGAAAAAAAAAAGTTTTTTTTTCCCGTGATCGGGAGCCCAAAATAGGGTCGGTCAGAAATGAGAACCATTGAATATAAAAAGGGTGCCCTTATGGGCATGATGGAGCCTACCAGGCTATTTCATCATACTGGAAAGGAGATCGATGGGCAAGGGGAAGATGATGGTCGAGTTCCTCTCGCCTGAGATGGCGTTGAGCGTCTGCAGGTAGCGGAGCTGGAGGGCATTGGGCGACTCGGCGATGATGTCAGCCGCCTCCTTCAGGGCGCGGGATGCGTTCTGCTCACCCTCCGCAGCGATCACCTGAAAGATCAGGAACAAAAAGTATGTCATTGTAAGTCAAGTGACAGTCTATTTAAAGGAACTTGATAAAGGCAGTCTTACACTAATACATTGAAGTTATGCTGAAATGGGAACCTACTTTTCACATTTTTTTGTGTGTTGGAAGAGTTGGCCCAAAATCCTTGGCAGAAAAATTTGTGAGGTACATGTAGGCTGCCACATGTTTGAGCAGACCGAGACTGGTAATAGAACCATCCAATATGCGGGGAATGAATACAGCTATACCGAACAAAATGTTATACCAAACATTTTCAGACTTTCAAGTGTGTTTTCCAAATTTCAGTGGCACAATTTGGAAGAAACTGAGTAAAAAAAATAAAATAAAATAAGTAAACCACCTGGATGGAGGAAAAGCTGTGTGCCTGAAAACAAATCATGGAGCTGCTCTGGGAAATGCTACTGACCTTTGCCCTTGCTTCCCGAGAGGCCTCGGCCTCGGCTGCCATTGCGCGCTGCATCTGGACTGGCAGACGGACATCCTTACTGACAAGAGGAAATGCACACACAAGAACAGAGATGATGACGTTTGGCACGATGGCTGCACTATTCAAGAGATGTCAAGCCAGCTTTTTGGAAGTGCACACTTATCACCATTTACACTGTCCATGCTATTCTTCTGACCCCTTAGGGCATTCTTGCCGTGTTGTCAACAAAGGCACTCCATACAGATAGCCACCTCAATGCAGAGTGAATGGAATATAAATTATTTGTACAAAGTTTGAGCTCAAACCTGTTGCGCACTGTAATGATGTGTGCATAATGATTGGAACTGGTTATTAATTAAGGACTAAAGAAGCTAGAAAAAATGAAACAATAGCATACAAGAGACAACCGAAGGGCCATAGCAAAATCAAACTTGTTCAGTTTCAACTCAATAAATTATAAGATTCTACCTACAATAGTAAACCACAGAGGGGGCTTCCGGGGGGGGTGTAAAGCACAAATCAGCTAAGCAAAATACTTTACAACAGGAAGGGTCAAATTTTGAGGGTTTTTACAAGCAAACTAGCAAGTTTCATCTCCTGGCATCTGTTGTTTCATTTCTTTCACTTTGTTCCCCGTTTTTTCATTTTTTTCCATTTTCGACTTATTTCCAGGGAGGAAAGGTTCCTCCTTACATTTCCACCCGTTCCACCTTGACACCCCAGGGATCGGTGGCCTCATCCAGCAGCCCTTGCAGGGTGGAGCTGATCTCCTCCCGATGGCTCAGCACCTCAGCCAGGGTCTTGGTGCCCAGGACGTTACGCAGGGTGGTGGCAGCCAGCAGCTCGGTGGACCGCTTGTAGTTCTCCACGTTCAGAATGGCCATGGTGGGGTTGGAGACGCGAAAATAGACCACGGCATCCACCGTCACAGTCACACTGTCCTTGGAGAGAACCTGAAGTGAAACCAATCAGTCTCATAATAACAATGGGGTTCTTAAATAGCTCTTTTAACTAAGATCAAAGCGCTTTCCACTATTATCATTACCCCTGCTCACTGGGCCCATGAAACCTTCCAAATACCATCTCAGCTCCCCAGGGAGCACACAGCTCGATGCTGCCATTTCGGCGCAAAACAGCTATTCAACCGTAGTAACCATCTCCGCCCTTACAGGTACCCACTTACATGGAGAAGCAATGAGTGACAAAGTGCCTTGCCCAAGGGCACACGCACCATGACCCCCGGCTGGATTTGAACCCGCAACATGCAGCTTTACCCGCCGATTGCGAATTCAGTGCTCTTAACCACAAGGCTACTGCACTCCATGACAAAACATGCTTCCAGTCAGCAATATATGCAGAAAGCTATATGCAAAATGTCCAATAAATTTTCAATGAATTTTTTTTTTTAATTCCCTTTTTATTTGAAAAGGAGTCGTGATTTTGATTTTTTTTTCAATAGAACTGATTTGGTGCTGCATCTAATGTTTTTTTTCCATTCCATGGAGAAGACTCAGGCAATCTACTCTCCTTCGAATCAAATTTCCAAAAAATTTACACTGACAGTTAAAAACAGGTACACTTTTCAAATCCCAGACAAACTGTTGATGCACTGTCTTTTTGAAATACGTGTGAAAGTACTTGTGAAATGTGAATATACGGCCAAGGGCATCATCTCAGAATTCAGGGTCTATCAGAACTAAATCCACAGGTAGAAATTGCAATCCAAATGACACTATTTTTTAGTTTAATTAATTACATGTAATCATTCCCTTTTCAATGACAAGTTTGATGACTCCAATGGCCCTTGTTTATTTGTTTGCTTTGTTGTTGTTTCGGCCGCTATTTCTCATGCGAGATAAAAGCAACAAAACAAGAAGTGAGCAGTCTGTCTGTAGGGAGTATTCTTTTCTTGCTACACAAAGTATCATTCTATTTATTCACGTGATCCACTTGTACAGAACTACATGTGTACAACCTTTCTCACTGTTCATCCCAATTGTTTTCTAGAGAGTGTTTCTGGTTGTTGGTTTTACAAGATCTTTGGCCATTCTCTTGTGCTTTCTGAGGGGAAATTTTCATTTTCACAAAGAAGTTAATTTGATTAATTGTACAGAAAAATGTACCTAAGTAACTAATATATCAGTGCATTAATTTAGGCTTAAATTAAATGAATTTTAGGTTTAAATTACATTACTCTATACATAACAACGCGACTCAGGCGGAGCGAAATATATTGTCTGGGCTGTACTGTAATTAATTATCAACCTACATGGATTTTAACAAATTTAGGGCAGTAAGGGTCAATTAAGTATTAAGCCCAAACTAAAAAAGAGTATGAAGAGATGTAAAGAAAGTCTCTCAACATTTTTCTAATGATTAGATCAATGGGGAAAATATATGTCTAATGACCTAGAGAGAGTGCGGAAAGGTGATGAAGCCTACCTCTTGAGGGGGAACATCAAAGGAAAGTGTCCTGAGGTCCACCACACGGATCTCATCGATGCAGGGGATGATGACGAACAGGCCTGGCCCCTTGGGCCCGCCCGGCAGAAGGCGGCCAGCACGGAAGATGATGGCTCGCTCGTACTCTGCAACTGTCTGATGAGGGTGGGATAGTAGGAAAGATCAGCCCCCAAAAAGCTTACAATTAGCCAGCCAGGATAACACAGCCCAAAGCTGTTGATTTTATTCAGGGATGCATGAAATCTGCGAAACTAATTTAAGTGAAGACAGAGAACTGTGGGTTTTTATCTTAATAATGTCAGCCATCTTTTTTATATTGCGCTGATATACAGTAGAATATCGCTATAACAAACACGCCGGGGTCCACGCTAAATGTTCGGTACAGCGGTCGTTTTGTATAGCGAAATTTACTGCAGAACGTTTCATTGCCATGTTGAATAGCGCCCTCTCTTGTCTAACTGAAGTGCACCCTCTTGTGATACCATGGTTCACTGTTTTCATGATGTTTTGCTGTTGCATTCACGTTTAAGGTTTCTAAAAATGTGTCTGTTAACTATTTTTGTTTTTTATTAAATTTTAAGTTACAAAATTGATTTCAAGTTTATCCTGAAATTTGTGAAGCTACCGCTCAGGATCGATCTTTGATGCATGCTGTGGCGAATCTCGGTACAGTTGTAGCTTGTGTATTGGCGGAGCCCTCTTTAGACTAATGTTAGTGCAATGCCACGTTGCGCGTGCCGTTTTCCTTCGCACCCGATCATACAGAGTCACAAAACCAGTCTCCATTCAATACTGTTGGCAGATTAACTGTGCGTGCCCTGGCAATCACTAGATGACGACTTTGAACAAGTGCGGACTAATGTACCCAGTTTCTCAGCTAGTTAATTGCAACTAACTCTTCAACAACTAGTGGTTTTCCCTTCTAATGCATAGGGAAATAAGGGCCACTCGTCACTCTCCAACATAAAAAACACTGTTTTATCAAGTCGATGTTCGGGAATAACCCGAATAACAAACGGCAACTGCATAGTGTTCGGTAAGTTTTGTGCACAAAATATTGGGAGCCAAGGACGATGTTCGGTACAGCCGAATGTTGGGTACAGTGGTGTTCAGTATAGCGGCATTCCACTGTATATCATTAATTTTACCTTTGCACTCTCGTCAGCTCAAAATTGCAGACAGAATATTTGATCTTATAGTGAAATCTTTCCAGGTTATGGTTATGTACATCCTTACATGAAATTGGTTATGGAATTTGGTAAGAAAGGAATTGGACTATTTCGACATGTCCAAAGTTTGAAGTTTTATGCTGTTCACATGCAGGATGATTATTTGCACAACAAATCTGGGTGTCCAAAACTGACCCATCAGATGTCTGAAAGACACCTTGACTGCACACTGATGAAACGTTTGGCCCTCTGAACCCACCTTAAAGATCATCCATACTGAGATGGGCAAAGTACAGATGATGAGAATAATGGAGAAGAACATGAGGATGTAGATGCAGCAACCGAGACTGGACTCATCAGAGTCTGGATCTGAGGTGATGGACAAGATGCAACAAGGAAAACTTAGAAAGAGTTCCGCACATGCATACCACATGACACCCTGTGCGCTAACCCTACGAGACTGGTCTGAAGAATTTTATAAGTAAATACATTGATATCTTCAATGCTAAAATTGACTCTTTGGGACATGTTATTGTTTTCTGATGGCTAATATACCACTGTAGGGAAAAACTGGGGATGTTCGAAAATGCTTCAGCTCCTCAATTAAATTCCAAATGATCATGGTGATCATGATGATCACATTAATCAGCACTGCTGTTATGATGCATAATGTATGACAGACATCTCCTTACAGCTACGTTAGTTCTACATTTTTCAATGTAAAATGGAACAAAAAAAACTAAGCCAAAGTGGGGTAGACTTTTCTCAGTCCAGGCAAATTCTCTATAACCTCAGACATTGGAGTTCTTTTTAAAAAAATTATTTTATTTCTTTACTTTTTCACATAAAACTCTATGTACCTTTCATTAGAGATTAGATTTTTGTTAAGGCTCAGGGGGGAGGGTTAACGTGAAAAACGGCAAACCATTCAATTAAGTGTGTCATCTTTTCTTCTTAATTGAGGAAGCTTAACTCGTTTTATTACACTTGTTTATACCAAAGCAAATTTTCCATAGATGTTATCTCTTTCCATGATACTTTTGTGTAAAATGGAATTTTCACACCATGTACTGCAACAGGCTAGGTTTTCAGCTTGCATCTATCCTATTCCTAGTGCTAGAAGTAGCCTACATGGACATGTACTTCTAGTATGGTACAGTAGGCCATGCCCACAGTACATGTACATGTACGTCCAACCCATATGCTCATTAGAATGGGAGATTAACATTTTTTTAACTTCCCAACATGCCCAATGGAGACTTATGACATCATGTTTATTATACTCTTTATAGCATCATGTTCATCAGGTCATGAGCCCTATACTAGGCCAATTATAACTAGGCCCTAAAGCCAACTACTATACTAGGGCTGGGTTCTACTTCCACGGGCAAGCAAATGGCTGGCAGTCGAAACAAAAACAGAGGAATAATTTCACAAATCTTGAGCAGCCATTCGCACAAAATCGAAGTTTGCCAAGGTTGGCCTGCACGTACATGTATGAAACCTGTGTACCGTGTCACTCATCGCATGCATGCGGCATGTAACGTGTGGCCTTGTAAGACATGGTACATAACCGGACCGTAAACCATGATTTCCTACCTCCATCCTGCCGAGCAACATACAATCTGTCGTCCCCATGTTCTTCGAGCTTCGTGGGCTTAACATTGCTAGAAGTGGAAGCCATATTTCGCTCCCCAAGATCAGCTGATGACTGACTTTAGAAATAAATTCTAGTGGATAATAATAGCTGTCATATTCCAAGAGAAACCAGTAAAACGGCAATCGCGCACTGTCCATGGACTGGTGTCAAACATAATTAATTTGTTTGGCGCGATCAGTCGATCAGCACGTTAAACCGATCGCTCTGCGCGTAGAAATCTATAACCGGCGGCCAAGTGACTGTAGTTAGATCGACCGATCGCGCAACACTCGACCGACCGCGCAAATCAAAAGATCGCGCACAATATTTTCACTGACACACTGCACACAAGCGCAATCAGCGACTGAGGAGCAACACATAGACTTTCTACCAGTCTATTAAATTTATTTATAGGCCTACCTGCACATTTATCTTCGAGGGGGGAGTCATGTTGCCTACCTGCCTGAATGCAATACTTAACTTTATTGCTAAATTTCAAAAAGAGCATACTTGGTTTTATTTTGCTCCTAAAATAAATACGATCTTTGAAAGCCATGTGCATAAGAGTATACAATGTACAAGCAAGCTACTGCATTCACGTTTGGGTTTCTCCCATCAACGTGTTTACGTGACTTATATTTGCAGTCGATAGTAGGCCTGTCTTCATAATTAGTGAGTTTGTCGCAATGTTGCAAATATGTCATGATCTTAAGTCTAGTAGTTACCACCCGCTTGTCTGAGAAAAACAATTAAAGTTTCCAAATGGTTTTAACCGTTGGCTGAACCTCACAGATTTGAACATCATAGTTATTTTTAAAAGTTTCATTACCCTATACCACGAGGCCCATGCAAACCATGTAGAATCTGATTGGATTTGCAAGATTGTTTACACGTTCGTTTGAACTGTTGAATGAGATCTGAGTGTAAATAACTATGAGAGAAACAAATCATGCCGACAAACAATGCGGAATTAAAGATGGGCCGATCTGTCCCTTACGTTGAGGGAACGACATTCCACAGCCCGCCATATTTTTGCTTTCAAGTTAAAAAATATTTCAGAAGAAAGATATACGAAACATCTGGGACTCTCCCTTTGAATTTGCGTTGCCCAATGCACGATGCATGATGTAATCAACAATTTTCAAGCGCTTGTGACCCTCTCACTGACAATCCTAAGTAATCCAACCCCGTCGACAAATATCGCTGCTGTCAGAGTTTGTTTCTGCGACTCATTTATTAATTGTGCAACCCCACGACTTTTGAACGTGTACAAGTGAAAGTACGCAAGCGTATAAGAGCCACTGGCAGAATTTTTTTCCGAGATACTATCTCGTCGCGGCGACTTACTATCTCGCCGCGGCGACTTACTTGTATCCAGACTTAGTCTTAATATGTAGGGAGTTGAACTAGTTTTAGCTAACTCGCCGCGGTGAGAACGGTAAGTCGCCGCAGCGAGATAGTATCTCGAAAAATTGTTTTTGCAAGTGGCCCTTATACGCTTCCGTATGAATGGGATGTAATTATTAGATGTGGTTATTTTAAAGTACATGTACGTTCACACTGGACAAATTAAGACTTGACAGTGGTAATGGACCGAGCCGTACGTGAGTCATTAATGAAAGCCAGTCCCGTCCAATATAGAGCCTGAAAGTAAAAGGTCACGTAGCGAGCTTCCGGAACCCTCGCGAGGTCCTCCCGTGGGGATTTTACGTTGGGCCGTCCTATCACGTTCGATAATTTTTGGAAGAATAATTCCTAACTGAAACCACCCCATGAAACACTCATGTCGGAATTTTACCTTTGTCTTCCTCAAGTAATATATAGGAAAAGTCACGTGGAGATAGGTTAAACAACGAATTTTCTTAACGACCTTTCACTTCCGGCGATATCTTACCTAGGTCTCCATGTTGCGCATTTGTTTTCACTACCTGTGCTTACGTGAAAACGAGATTGTACAACGTTGCAAAGATTTAATTACTTACGTGCAGTCGATGGGTTCCAGATTCCGTTGAATCGACATCACGCAGTTGTTGTCAGCAAAGGTTGGATAACAGATTAGAATCTTTCGTAATTGAAGGAGAATGTTGCTTTCAGTTTATTACTTATAAATTATAAGACTATGTAAAATATTTATTTTGATCTGTTTTTTATTTCGGCTTTTACCGACGGAGTACCATAAAATTTCAAACCATAAATGTTCATCTGCGTACGAGACTACCTCATTGCACTGTTCTTTGTGTATTTTAGATTTTCGGAAGTAATTGATATACTGGCAAATATTTTCCAAAGCCCCTTTTCCGAGTTGGATTTTTTTAAGAAGAAACTGAACGAAAAAAATATTACAAATTCTTAAATCTTTGCACTTTATTTTACCTATCCAAGGGTTCCGGAAGCGCGCCAACAGGGGTCAACTTTCAGGCTCTATTGTCATGTAGGCCTAGCTAAGGAATCGCTTCGACTGGTGGTGCGTTTATAAAAGAAATTGATTTGTTCTGTCGCACGTGTACTCACTCACTCGAAAATCACTGTGACATACATCGTATTCGATTTACCCTAATGCCGTTTGATAGATTACACTCTACAAGCCTGTATCCATAGTTCAAACCTTTTTACAAAATGGAATTGTACGTCATTTTGGACAGGGTGTACGCGTAGGCCTGTGTCGTGTATTTCAAAAATATTATGTTACAGTTTTCATGTTAATCAGAAACTGGAGGTTTTTTTTGGGGTGGCGTTTGTTAATGTTTTTGGATTTTTTAAAATGGTTTACTTCACTTTGATTCGTTCTCCATCGGTAGCACACCTCGATTTATGAGTTGTGCATGCTTAATTTTTGTATACCCATGTTTAACCAATAGGTCTATTGCCCTTTCTGCCATTTGAGCTGATTGGTTCTTGATTTTCCACCTCTTGTCTAAAGTTGCTTTGGTCCATATAGTTTGTCTGAAAGCCTATACTTTGATCCTTTACTTCGCTTCGATTTATTCTGCATGGCTTGCAAACCTAATTTGTTACGCTGATGTTATACTGTGCGCGCTTATTTTACACCAATTTTACCATTGTCACGCGTTGATTCTTGATTTTTACCTCGTCTGCTTCGGTCTAGTTTGCCTGAGAGCATTTGGAATGGGACTGGGCTGTGTTTTGCGGTATACATGACAACAGCGCGACCTTCCAAACAAATGATAGCATGTTTCGGCGTGACGCTCGCTGGAGAATGCACGTCCGCCACATGAGAGTCCCCGCCTCAACCGATGCGCACGTCATCCTTGTCATCTTTCGTGACGTTTCCACGTCTATTCGTCTCAGATATTACGCTGTCGGTGACTTCTCCCCGGACTGCAGGAAACCCATACATTCTTTGCAGCTCATCACAATACAACAAGGCCTTAATTAAGAAACTCCAGCTTTGTGGGATTCTGATGGTTCGATCAAGTATAGGAGGCATCATGGATTCAGCATGGCTGGAATCTCTTACAAGTGCGCCCAACAACACAGGAGAACTGAGAACTGTAGCCGGGATTGCTCTGCCAGCTTCCTTGCTTGTACTTATCCTCCTACTGTCTGTATTTGGCAATGCTGCCGTGATTATTGTGATGCTGAAGACCCCTCACTTGAGAGAGAAAACGACTAATATTCTTCTGATCAACTTGAGTATGACAGATCTGCTGAATGCCACACTGGTGATGCCCGGTGCGTTGGTATCTCTGATTGCAGATAGGTGGCTCTTGGGGATGTATTGGTGCTACACCCAATGCGCCCTCAATTACTGGTTCATCATTGTGTCCATGTTAACTCTTGCCATGATCAGCATTGATGGGTTTTATGCTGTTATACACCCGTTGCATTATATGAACATAATCACGCCAAAAGTGACTAGACTTGGCATCTGCTATGCGTGGTTCCAAGGGTGTGTGTTCGCCTTGATACCTGCTCTCTACCGCTGGGTCGTCTACGATTATTGGGAAGTGGTTTGTGCCATCGATTGGGACAACGAACACCACGATGAGGTGATTGCGTACGTCAGCGTGGCGTTTATCACCTGCTTCCTCATTCCGACTGGTGTCATAGTTTTCTGTTACCTGAAGATTGCCTGCGCTGTGAGGAGCAGCTCAGGGCCCCAAATCCCTCGAGGGGGGCGCCGCCAGCGGCAGGATGTTAGGGTCATTCACAGCCTGACCGTCGTGGTAGTGGTGTACTTCATCTGCATGAGTCCTTTCTGCGTTACCAAAGTCTTGAAAATTTGCCTCGGATCGAGCGCGCTGCCTCCCTATCTCAACCTGACTGCGTCATGGTTTGCGTTCGTGGCCAGCGGTACCAACCCCTTCATCTACGGAATCTTCCGTCACGACTTCCGCCAAGCCTTTAGAAATTTGATCTGCAGAAGGGAACGGATTTTTCCGTCCCCTCCCCGACGCCCCAACAACCAAGGGACGGGTCAAAGCCAGCTCACTGGCAGAGAAGAAGGAACTATGCCAATGTAGTTTAAACGCTGGATTAAACGAAGACTGGACACTTTTCCCAGAATCTTGCGCACGTTGAGAACAACCCTCGTATTCGATGTGCTGTGTTTTACATGTAAATTTTAGATTGGACAAAACAATCACCGTCTTGCCACAGAATTCGCTAACACTAATGAGTGACCGTTTCACAGATTCGCAAATCAATGCTCTGTAAAGATACACTAGTCAGTTTATATACGTTATTGAAACGAAAGTAATTCGATGTGCATGATAAAGAGTATAACAAAAACTCTCAAAATCTTGCTTTCTTACAACTCTTGTGCATTTATTCCATGGTGCAAGGTCTCCGACGAAAACATGCCACAATGAAACTTTAGCTTCACTGACAAAAGTCCTTTTGAAGCGGTAACACGCTGATGGCCATGACACCGTCCCCGGGGAGATTTCACTGCATTAAGACAGCCACAGCGATTTGCCTACGTGAGTGAAATCATGTCATCTGACATCAATGCAGCGTCTGAAGATTAGGCAAGAAAGCTCCTTATTGCAAGCACAGAAACAAACTCTCTGGGGGCATGATGTGGACAATAACCTGAAAAGACCTCTTAGGCCCATTTCCCGAAAGACCACTTTGCCCAAACAGTTCTGAATCCTCCAATTTTAATATTGTTCTGCACAAACTCCAGGGAGCTGAGATATCCTTTTCTGTCAATACAGTTGTACAGTCGAATTAGCGATGGAATGGCACAGGAACAGAACAAGAAAATCAAAACTCGTCATGTCGAGTCGAAGAGACACTTCGGGCAAGGTTCAAGCTCGTCGACGACGCCAACCGCAGGAAGGTTTTTACGGATTAGACTCTATGTGCTGGATGGATCGGCAAGGCCACGACCCAAATAAAGAGTTCAGAATACGAGATTCTATCGGTAATGTGTTTTGAGAGCAAACACTCAGAAATGAATTCGTGTTCCAGTCTCAAAAGTAACAGAAACCCCCGAGAACTGCCTATATTATACTTCTTGAGGTTCAGCTTCAAGACTTCAGAAAATATAGTGATGATAAAATGCGTTATGATGTAAAGCAATGCATAGTACAGTGTATGCATGGTTCAAATGCATAACTCTCTTTGGCCCAAGTGTAGTCTAGCTGTCTCAAGCGTGTAATGATAACACTACAATTGCTCCCGATCCGGGTATCTCAAAGATGTGGATCCCGCATGACTTCACGAAAAATCTACCACACAAAGTTGTAAACCAACAGCTTGTTCAGAAGTTCACCTGCCCCTCGCAGTCGGGTCCCCCTACGTACCATGCACGGACGGTCAGCCGATTTTGTTCGCATTAGTGATTAAGAGTAAACATTCCAGAGCATATGAGCAATTGCTAACGCGTTGGCTGTAACACAAGGTGTTTAGATTAATGTCTTTTTCCAGGCCGGCCAGCGCCACCTCAGTGCTCTCTACTGGCGCGACTATTTGGACTTTGAGCTCTTGAAATAAATACAAGAAAAATGGCGACGCGGCATCATGAGATGTGCCTGCATCAACATTACAGCGCTTAACAAAGAGTCCAGTCCCTACTCAACCACAGAGATCATCGAAAGAGTAGGTATGTTGATAACGGTTTCCATGCAAAGTTTGATTATGCACCAGAAAAGGAGGACAAAACTGTAGGTTACTAGATTTGGTACAAATTATGGAGGTCAAATGATTATGAACATCTACTGCATACAGCAATAGCACGTATTTCGCAGTGCACCATACACCGGGTACCCCCGCCGCGTATACAAAATTAATGGAAACACTGGCACACTCTGCAATTAAGGTACATAAACATGCACGTACGATGAATTGCGTATGTGTAGACGGAAGGCAGAAGGAAATTGAAGTCTTTCGTTTCACGTTGTTCTACATCACATCAAAAGACCTGCGGTTTACACAATCTGGCAGACGAGGAACCGCAGGGGATTGTCGCATTACTAGGCTTTTAGATCAGATGCAAACGACGTTGATGACTCGACTGGAGCTTGCCCGGCGCATGAAGAACGCGCGTATAGGCCTACGCATGCGTGCAGTTCCAGACTATTTTAAAACCCGTGATATTAAAAATGCATTTTCACTCTTTATTGATGTTGTGCAGTGGGAATATTTCTGTATGCTATTTCAGTGTAGCTTTCCTCGACTAAACTGTCCAAAATGTTGTCCTTGGGATTTGAGTTCCATTAGAAAATGAACCTATAATGACGAGAAAGAATTGAGCGCATATGTGCTGACGGTGATTCATACAAAAGATACCGTTTTCAGCGCACAGAGAACAGACTCAAGTGCACAAATAACTTGTGACTACAGTAAGTTGAAGTAGAAAAGTGACTTTTGTACATGGATTTCAGGCAGACTCTTAAATGAGCGACACAATTGTTACTTTTTGTCCGTGAAATTGCTTTAAAATCAATGAAATAAACACGTGTAAAAGCTACGCGACTAGGCAGATAAATAGCTGTGCTTAAGGAAAAATGAGTCCCTCGGTTGAAAATGTACAGCATAATATTTGAAATGTTAGTCAAGGCTACTACTGTTTTAACTTCCAGCTGTATTCTTCAGGTAGTGACCTGTGAAGCCCATGCCTTCTACACTGGCCGACCTAAAAAACTTCAAACCCCAGATCTGAGCCGGTACAATGCGGATGAGTCTGGCCAGGTTTTGCACGGTGGTCGCACTGGTCAGTCTCGTGGTGATTATTTCCCTGGCCAACCGCCACTTCTTTGGGCGTCGGTACGCGCAGGATGCAGCCGTGCACAGCGTGCACAGGTCGCACCACCCTGCTGGGATGCGGATCGGTACCCCCCCGAAAGCCACTCCTGAGATGATTGAGGTACCCCCTCGGGACGAGGATAACCCGCCCACAGAGAGGTTGATCCCCGTATCCTTGCACTGCAAGCAAGTGTGCACAAGGTGTGTGACAAGTAAATATTCACTGTCCAAAATACAGAATTAAATTGGCAAAGCTGTGTGCTGTTTGACAGTAGATAGATGTGTTTTCTGTAAAGTAGAAACAAAATCCTTTCAAATGATAGTCTGCTAGAATTACTCAAGTCATCAGTACTGATTCGATAAAATAAAAAAGCTCCTTCACGGTATGTCACCTCTTTTTGCAAGTTCCCTATAATCTCTTGTTTTGTGTCGGGTTTTCTTTTAATGTACATGTGCTGAATGGAAATCGGTGAGAATGCATTTCCTTTTGCGTGAAGTTCAAGAACTCAAGAACTAATTTCCGTGTGTTCGGGAAAAACAGTTATTTTTCTGAAATCTGTTGTTAAAATAAAAAGACTCTATGGATAAATCCTCCATTGTTTCGTTAAATGTTTACAGCGGGTTGGGTGGCGACTGTTACCCTATAGACAAAGCCATCCTTGTGTATCGAGATGATACACCCACCAGCTTCATGAAATTCCGTCAGAACGCACACCCGGTGCTCTACGTGTCCAAGCCTGCAGACGGCCAAACCGTGCCAGAATTCCAGGAGGTGGAAGAGTGTGACATGGACGACCACTTTCCGGACATGTTCCTCCTCCCGCGGCAGAGGCAGTGCGCCGTGGTGGGTAACAGCGGCATCCTCCTGGGCAGCGGGTGCGGGAAGGCCATCGACGGCCACGACTTCATCTTACGGGCAAACCTGGCTCCCGTGAAGGGTTACGAGACGGATGTGGGCCAGCACACGGACATGACCGCTATCAACTGGGAGACGCTCGGCAGGCTGTACTCCTCTGTCGTGCAAAGTGGCCCCACCAACCTGGACAACAGGATACTTCTTGAACGCATACACAGACTTCAAAAGTCGATTCTTTGGTATCCGAAATCGCTCAGTAAGTTGTATCAGCGGGAGGTTATACGGAAGTTGGCAGTTACCCTCAAGGATCACAAATTCATGAACATTAAAATGGCCTTCGGCTGGAAAGCGATTAGCATCGAGAGGTAAGCATTTAAAAACTTTGATTCAGGTCAAGTTGATAAACTTAAAAACACTGCGTGGGCCATTTACGTTTCGTATAACTTTGTACAGGTTTGTCATTCAATAATGTTGGACCCTTGGCTTCGGACAAGTTCGAAAACCTAGATGTCTGACTCCTACTATTGGCCCGCTGTCATGTGATCCAAATCTTGATTAAACATGATCAAACCCATAGTAAACCAAACTTGCGCCGGGGAAAGAAATCATACTTCTTTCCGTTTTGTTCCCTCTACAGAGAGTGGGGTTTGGAGGGCTACGCAACACTTGGCTTCGACATGTTCGTGGTGGCCAGAACTCTCTGCTCCAACATAACACTGTACGGTTTCTATCCATCCAGAGAAGGCCCCAACGGCGAGAAAATTCAGCACCATTACTACGAAGATGTCGACTTCAAGTATCAAACGGCAAAGCACGATTTCTGGCTGGAGTACCAGAAACTTCAAGACCTCCAGGCAAAGGGAGAGATTAAGATACAGATTAAGCCCTGCAAAACAGCAGACTGAAGTAAAACATATACTGGGGAACGGGGTAACAAGGCTATCGTGGAAAATGTGATCGTGATGGATACTCCCGAAATTAAAATTTTGTTTGCAGCCTTTCCCTCTGAATGTACATGTAGGAGGTTAACTCTGGTCATTTTCTCTTCTACGGGGGCGTTCTCCAAGGGCTGTGGCACCAACATCTTTTTGCTAAATCCCTTTCCGTCAGATTTATCGTAAACAGCGTAAGCACGTCGTGCAACCATTGGAGACGCGATTCTGAGGCGATTGTAACGCACAGAAATTGACCGATAATCCGTCTATCATGCCCCGGTGAACGTCCAGTCCCATCGATATTCCTTGGAGAGTCAGGACAAAGTATGAACTGAGAATGTTACTAAGGCAACAAGCCAACTTAACACCGAAAATGGCCGCCAAATCGAAATAATGTACAGCTGGCGGGGTGAGAAGTTGTCACCTTGGCTGGATCGAAGATTTAAAAGAAAAAAAAATAATAAAAATACACAGGTGGCCTAGAAAACAAAGTCTCACCAGGTTCAACAAAAATAAACATAGACCCAAATGCCCGGGTATTTGTCCATCTGTAACGTTTCTGTGTGATCCACTTAAGTATCCACATTCTCGGCTAAACGAGAGAATCCAGTATGCAGTGGGCGTGGTTATACCTCAAACAGCCCAATTCGAACATAGCTGTAAAGCTGCGAACTGAAATAATGGAAGTGTTGGAAGATTCCGTTTTAAGTTTCAGTGTCTTTTTATTTCTCCAAAAAATATACAAGTCTTAACCATGGGAAGAAAAGAAACAAGAGTTTACATATTTAAAAAAAAAATCAAAAACATAATATGCCGGTTGGGCCCAGTTTAAAAGCTTTGTAACGAACTGCACACTTTTTCTTACTGTCCAAAAGATATGAAATTTGTACGAAAAAGTTCTAGTGACAATAAACTGGCAACTCTTTACGGCGGTTTGTCATTAATATACTTGTCAGGGATGAGATTGGAGGAAAATTAAATATCCACGAAACAGCCACCAGAGAATTTGGGGGACCACAGCAGCAAAGGGTCTACGGTACACATTAGTTGTTTGCCCAAAGACATACCTTTGAATAAACACTTCTTTTGTTCTGTGTAAAAACACCTTATTTTATGTACTGTCATAGTGACCTCATCATATTCCGGATTTTAAACTGATTGATTGAACCGTCCAGAAATTGGGGACATCCTGAGGTGAACAAAAATCCTGAAATCAGGACAAATCCTGACAAATCTCACCCCTGACTTGTATACGAGCAAGGGGGGATCCAGAGCCAACTCTTGAGGTGGGGGTGGGGCATATATATTTTTTGGGGGGGGGATTAGAACTTTTTATGTAACCCTTCATGATGCTTGTGGGTAAAGCTACATTTACAGAATTTTGGAAGGCAGGGAAATGACATGGACCAAAAAACTTGTCCTTTGATTATTTAAAAACAAACAAACACCCCAACAAACAAACAAACAAACAAGCTTTTCTCATGGGGGGGGGAATGGCCCCCTGGATCTGCTAGTGTGTACAAGATTGATCTGATTATAGAGGCCAACATTGACAGGAAAAAGGCACAGAGATAAGCCAAAGAATTGTAGCTTGCTTTGAATACCTGTGCTCTGGTTGCAAGGTACCATAATATATGCCCCCCCCCAAGAATCCTGCGGGGAGGGGGGGGAGGTGACTGGATTCTGAAGACAGAACAAAGGATGAGCGGGCAGGAGAAACGGATGCCTGCCCCATGGAAACTCAACAGAGTGTAGATGAGCATCATGATTACAGAACCGCTGACTTATGACCACCTTTGAATTGCACTGGATTGAGTTCTTTTTGCCTTGGGCAAGTCTTTGTTTCTGCCAGTTCGGTTCTGATTAGAGCTATCTGATTAAATGATGGCGGGGATGATTCAAAGCTCTGTAATGCCAGGGGAAGGGGAAGATTAAAGGATGGACTGCTTACAACCAAGTCGGGACATCAAACCATCACTAGCAGCCTGTGCATAAATTGTAATGTCACAAGCAGCCCCCTTGGTCACGAAATACAACCAATCTCCCTCAGTGGTACAACAGTTAAATCAACTGCGCCCAAACAACCTGTTAATCCCCTTCCTCGGTCAGCCTGATAACTGGAGAGATTTCTGCATACCTCACTTATGACGAGGGAAGTAGGGAAGTACTTAATCAATGTATGCATCGTGCAGATCATAACTGTAACGGTCACGTGTGAGGTGGTGAGCCCATAGTGAACCCAGTATATCTACCTAGCCCCTACTTGATCCAAGAAGATTTTCCACTCATATATATCTCTTTGGTGGTTTTCTCTCGCCCTTCACACCGAAAAATCCCTGTACCCTGGGTAAGCAGAATGAGATTTCTGCATTCGGCAATGTATTCCTCAAATGTGATTTTGGGTTTTTAGTGTGGGAAATCACACACCGGTTTTCTTTCTGCCCCCTAATTATCCCACTAGTGTTGCAGTTGAGACCATCACAAGATCATGCACAGGACCAGTCACAAGTAACAGGGTGAACAATGACAAAGGAATGCTTTTGTTGCAGTTCATTTGAATAGCTTGTGGCTTGAATTCAGACTGGAGGTCTTGTGCTGGTCTTGTGTGGTCTTGTGAAGGTCTTAAATGGTCTCGCCTACAACACCGCATGCCACATGACGAATCATAAGTAGGAGTTTCACAAGTATCCACCCTTATTTGTCAACAAAGATATACATTTCCATGCAAAGAAAGTTGTTGTGAATCTGCCAGGAGTACAAAGTATCACCCATACTTATTACTGAAAATAAATATGTCATAATAATAATAATTTGAACTTGAAGCCATGCTCTCAAACTCCAAACTTAAACCTGTCAATAAAAATATATACACCATCTTTCAAACCGCCACCCAAACATTTGTTAACTTTGATGCATTCAATCTTGTTTATACACTGGATGCAATCACAACACATGTAAGTATGCACCGTGAAGCTATAGTTAAACCACCACTCCAGCAAATGGATATGGGGCTTTAAAAGCTAAGAAGTAAGTAGATTTTTGAGGGTCACAAATAAGCCTTTTGCGAGTTAAATTTGAATTCAATCTGGTACACTGAGTTCTTTAAATTCACATGAACATAAAAATTTGAATTCTCCATACTAAAGACACTGTTGTTATACCTTGTGATTCTATGTGAGAAGCCAGCTTTGAAGCTGTGTACACATGTAGTCACGGCTCTGTGTTCTGGAAGATCTCACAGTGTCTCTGACAGGGACTGTCTGAGGTCTTGTGATCTATTTATAGCTGAATGGTTCTCGACACAAAATAAAGACATGCAGTGTGGCCTTGACGTTGCAGCCTCCTCACGTGTAGATGTTATCCAAGTTGAACAGAGGATTTTCCTCAGGATCTGTACAGTCAAACAAGATGACTAATCCGCTTAGATTCACTGATGATCAGTGAGATTAGCATCACACCTCGTTCAGGAAGAAAGGTTCACGACACCTGATCAAGGTGAAAACCTACGTCACCTTGACAGTTGCGCGAGGCCAAAGTGGCAAGTCACGGAGAGTCATATGAAATGTGTTGTGAATTCAAGCTATTAGCATCGGTGACAAGAACACATACACATATCATGTCTGCTATAGCAAAGGGTCCCCATTCTAAACCATGCATGGGAGAGTTTACAATAACATGCAACTTTGAATAGTATATATGCCCAAGTGTAAAAATACCCACAACATGCAGCATCAGTACGCAGCCACAGTTTACAGTAAAATATCTATTTTTGCCACAAAAACCATGAAACAAAGACCACATCAACATTACTATCACCCTCACAGAAGAAAAACTATACCCCGAACATCTCAAACCAACTCCTGATACTTTTCATCGCTGTCTCTATCAAGAAAAAATAAGTTTTCAACGGCTAAATAAACTCCTCTTCATGTACATCCAATAATTTGGATTGTTAAAAAGTGGAGTATTTATGTTCCAAAAGAACGAAGGCAGAGAGATCATGAGGAAGTAGCAAAGACTTCTTGCACTCGCGATATTTTTTCGAGGTAAGGACCTAGCTTCACTGCTTGTTGCTAACCTTGGCCTTGTCCTTGTCCTTGCCTTTCTAGCTGTGCCTTCAATCGTCGAATCTCCTCTTCAAGAACTGCGTATGCCTGGACGAAACAGAAAGAACAGAATAATCAGTCCAATTGCTGAATTCTAAAACCACACTTGAGAAGTCTGAGAAAAGCTTTCCAACAATGGTGTGGGGCTGCGCCGCATATCCGAATATTCGACCATTATTGAATATTTGAATATTATCAATATATTGTTTTCCAAATTTGAACATTCGAATGCAAAATTCATGAAAAGGAACAGGGAATTTCCTTTTTTTAAATGAGAAAAACTGCACTATGGAGGCTTGTTTCAAGCAAATTCAAAAGAACGACGATTCAAAAAGTACATTATTTATTAAACAATTTAAAAGGAAAAGAAATTTTCAACAGAGCAAGGAGTATTGTTCATCTCTTCATCTTGCTAAATCATGGCTGGAGATACTCCTAGATGTGAGAAGCTATAATACTGATCATAATGTACAATTGTGTGCATTATTACAATTGATTTGTACATGGATTGTTCCTCAACAATCTGCTGGTCAGTACAACTGAATATTCAGATATTCAATCGAATTGAAGGTTGAATATTTGACTAGTGAATTATTTGAATTGACTCAGCCCTACAATAGCAATCAGTACGACCCATTCTGACTTCTGAAATCTTTCCTTCTGTCGCTTTCAGAGTTTTAGAACGGATTCAATAATTTGTCTTCCAAAGTAGTATTGAATTATATGTGACCCATTATTCCAAAACCAGCCCGAAGAATGACAAACTATTACCTGGGAAATGATACTGCTATAGACATAAACAATGTCAAGTCTGGAGGTCTAGTCCCCTATCTACCAAAACTTTCTGCACATAATTTTTCAATTAATTTGGATCACTTGGAAGTATGAGTATTGGCAGTGGATGAGATGCATCAACTTTAGCCTGGTGTTGGAACGGTAGGCCAGGTTTTTAGGTCCTAATCAAGAGATCTTTCAGCTGGTATCTCATGAAGCAGACACGTCTGATGAAAAATAATTTAGCCACGTTAACTTTCATAATATTGTAAGTGCGGAAAGGGAAGACAATATGCTTGGCAAGTGAGATGTCAAGACGAATACCAATGAAGAGTTAGATGTGTCATTAAAAGCCAGCCCCCCCCCAAATTGAATTTAGACGACTTGGCTGAAGGAGAGGTTTTCCTTTCTACGAAACCAATCAACCAGCCAGGTTTCCTCACAATATCACAATCATCCCACTAGTGTGTCCACTCACCGCCGAGCAAGCCTCTAACGTCTCAAACCCGTCTCCCTGGGGCGCAAGGAGCTGGTCGCTTTTCGTGGCCGCCTTGAGCTGCTCTCTCTTGGATGGGTCCAGAACATACCCTGCATCTTGGAAGATTTGTGTCAGCTTCTTCTGGTAACCCTGAATCACCAAGCACAGTAGGCATTCATGCATTCAGATAAAAGCTCATGATTATTTCATCAACTCATGTGAGGATAATTACAAGAGGCAACCCTGAATGGCCAGTGGCAATCACATTATAATACCTGCATGAAAGCTCATGATTATTCATCAAGTCATCTTAAGATATATATATCAGAGGTAACCCTGAATCGCCAACTGCAATGACATAATCTTTACATAATTATTCATCACATCATCTCAAGATAAATACCAGAGATGACCGTGAATGGCCAATGGAAACAACATTTTAACAATTGCATAACTTAAGACTCATGATTATTCATCAAGTCATCTTAGATCAACACAAGAGGTAACCCTGAATGGCCAATGGCAACTACATAATGTCACTCATGTTAAAGTCCATGACAATTCGTAAAGCCATCCAAAGATAGAGGAATCAACAAAATACCAAGAAATCAACATTTGGAATCATCATGCTGATGATCTTGACGGCCAAGAGTAATTCACATGTAGTACCACTGCCCAAATTTTCATGACAATTTTAGTTCAATTATGTGCACAATTTTAGACGAATCAAAGAGCATGTGATTCTCCTTTTAATTACAATATGGTCCAGCCTGTGATGCAAACGTGTTGCTGCACTGACCTGTAATGTGATTTCCTCGTTGAATAATTCTCCTTCAATTTCATCCCATCTACTTCTGAGTGCTTCAGAGAGAGTTGGGTAAACTGCAAATGGAAGCATCGACAGCAGTGGTGTTTTGAATTTTGTTTTAGCTAGGTTCTTACAAAAGAACACGAAGACCAACTGAGGATTAAATAGTATGGAATCCCAAAAAAATTTAGGGGGGGGTTTGAAAAGACAAAAACTAGATAAAGAACAGACCACCTCAACGCATACTTGAAAGCAATGATTGATTTCAGTTTTATGCAGTTGGCTACATGGGAAACCATTTTGGGGACCTGTATATTTCTTGTGATGCTGAAGTCAAATATATGCCATTTGCTTGTGGTTTTGTGAATTTTTTTTGGTTAAAAAACTAGTTCCCGTTCAGGACTAGAACAGGGTTCCTGCACCTAAAGGGCAATTAAAATTACACGACTTTTCCCAAGACCAAATTAGAAAACTCCACGACCCAATAACCCAATTTTTTGGAATATTCAGGCTCTTAAAGTTGCAAATAAAATCACACATTTTATGCACTTATTTCTGATAATAGAAATCACACACAATGTTTGAAAGATTCCATGACTTTTCCCTGATTTCAGTCATTTGTACAATATTCCATGACTTTTCCAGGCCTGGAAAATGAAAACAAATTTCCATGACTTTTTCATGGCTTTTCCAGGCTGCGGAAACCCTGCTATAATACTCTGGTCATGTTATTTTTCCACATTACTTACCAAGCAAGGAATGCGGATGGCACACTAATGGTGTGACAAACACAATGGCATATTCACATGTTGTTGGCTCTGACACATTAGTAATGGAGTTCAATGCGCCGCACTCCAGGTGAACCTTCAAAAGGAGACAAAAGTGCCATAAAATCTCATGGTATGAACCTGGTTGCAGAAGGACCAAGCAGGAAAACTTGCATATGGTTCCAGTGAGTGACATGCAGTGCAGTTGAGAAATTCCCACTAGGATCTGGGACAAATTTTAAAGTCGGAAATTCCGCAAGGGGTGTTACCCACGCTTATATATATTTCCCTGTTTAGCGAGACATTTCAGCCTGTGCGCTCTGAGTGCATCTCACAACTAAGGATTGTGTGATGACGGCATTAAGGCCGGTTCGTGCTTTGTGCAAAAGCAGGCACAAACCTGATGTGGCAACGTCTGATCAGATCTTCATGCTGTGAATTTGCAATAGGTTAACGCATTTCAACTCTTACTTGAAGCGAACTTCGCAGCAAACACTTTGTGCGGTCAAATTTGCTTCGCTTCCACATTCACCCAAAGTGATAACCGGCCTCTGGCAAAGATCTTACATGTGCATTGTGAGCACGGATAGGTTATCATTGGCACAGAATGCCTTGATTAGCTAAGTCATGGAACTCAGCATGGATTTACAGTGGCTGAGAAACCACCGGCCAGGACCACCAGGCGGTTAAGATGAAGGGGCAACGATCTGTAGACTGCCCACTGTCACCTCTACAGTGGAATTGAAGAGAGGACAGAAAATCTGAAAGCGACTCACCGTGACCTTTCTGCTCTTGTCCAAGCACTGGTCCCCTTCTGTCATCAACATGGACTTGAAGACGTTTCCTTCTATTTGCCATTCTTGCCAGATCCTGTCAGGACAGAGGTAAATGTCAGCCTCTTTTCACCGTGACCCATTCCCCCCCCCAAATGAGAATAGAATTGCAACTGTCACAAGGTGGCATGTGTAGGCATACGTACATCACCACTACTGGAGCGAGCTGTCATTTTATACAAGCCCGTCTCTTTAAATGTGTAAAATATCTAAAGTGTTCAGATATAGAGAATTGTGTTTACAAAACAAATGTAGGAAAAATGCTTCTCCAGGCAAATCCGCTGCCATTTAAGAGGGGGGCAAGTGGCATCTTGCCCACTAGAAATTGCTCTTAATTTCCTTGTACCGTGGCTTTACTGAACACAACAGCCTTAAGACCTTCAACATCTTTTTTACTGCAAATTAGCATTCATATTGTCTGATGGATGGCAAAGTCCTTGCTCTTATGAACTGACAATATTTATCAGGGTCATCCACCAAGCAAAAATTGTTTTTCACATAAAAACCTCCAGCAAGTTCTAGTCTCTGATGCAAATTAGCAGAATTCAGAAACCAGACTGGACTTTTGTTTTTACTATCATACACTCCGTTGGTCAAAGACCATCTCGTGATTTTACTTTCATTCTTTCAGGAAATCAGACCGATGTCTCACCCTAAGATGCCACTGTAGGGGTTCCATCTTAGGCTCTGTTCATGTTGAGTAACATTCTGGAATGGACACAGCTCGTACTTGTACCTTGTGGTGAGAAAAAAGATCAGTTTTTATGAAATTCACACGGGCACAAGTTAAATGTAAGTTAATAAAAGCGTTTGAGTGAAAACATGCTGTTGGACACTTGGTTTAATATGAAGCCATATGAAGCCTCCTCTGGTAATCAGTGGATGGTGGAGCCCAATGGCTAAACAGTGAACGAAGTGTGACATCATCACGGCACAGAGGCACATTGGTTTTCTCAAATATCGACAGTTAAAAGTCAGTCAATTCATGCAATGAACAGACACATACTATCTGAATGCCTTTGCTGAACTTTTGAAACTTACTTTTCCCAACTACAACACCAAGAACGTATTTCAGATATTTTTCACAATGGGAAAATGAAGACTGTAAAAACTGATGACAAACTGACAAAAAGTGACTTACGAATTAACTGTTTTTGAGAAGCACCTTCCAACCAGTCTCTTGAGATGAGGGGGGCCTGGAATTAAAAAAAAATTGAGTCCACAAACCTTTCTTCCTTCCTTAAAAACCAAATCAGTTAAATACTCAACAAACATTGTCAGAATTTCAGTAATTTGGCATAGACTGACTCAGAACTAAACTTATCAGGGTGTTCCTAGTAGTCCAACTACATGGATATAAAACCAGTTGTGTGTCTGATGATCAATTGCATTTTAAAGGTGATTTCATTGACAAGTCATTAAAAGGTCTTGTTCCACTGCCCTTCTTCGCATGCTCTCTGCTCTTGGGTCAATAAGAGAGATGGGTCATTCCATGAGGTTGGGGCAAAATTTGTGAGGGTGTCCTTGTTACATGGGTAACTTTTACTGTCTGTCATGACCTGTAGAGTAGGTCGTTTACTCTGTAAAAATAACACACACCTTGATATTCAACCTTGCAAGATGTATAACAATGTCAATTTGGAATCCACAGAGGGAAATAGCTGTTTATTTTTACGGAACCCATGTAACAAGGACACCGTCACAAATTGTGGCCCAACCTCATGGAATGACCCATCTCTCTTTAATTGACCCAGATACGTGCGCTTGCACATATATGCACTAACTGGTGACTGGGGTCCCAGGAACTCAGTGTGTTCACACACAGCATCATGCATGTTTGGCTCAGTCATGCTGAGCATGCACAATCAATTTCTGTTGGTATGTACATGTACACTCTGTGAATATGCCATGCACCCACAGGAAACAATTCCCAACTCGTCTCTTCCTATTTGTCAGTGTCTGGGGTATTTCAATTCGGAGTGGATTACCTACGCCACGGTAACTCGGTTTTTTTTTTCCTTCCCCGTGTTAAAGTTGAAACACTGTCGATTATTGGTATGATTTGACCTACCGGAAAAGTTGGCTGGTTTGACCTTGGGTTTGAGAATCTCTGGCTCATTATTCCCCCATGTCTGCCTGAAAGACAGATCGACAAAAATAAAATTTATTGAGCATAGAGCCTTTCACTTTCCAAAAATGTTGTAACCTGGATGGCCCCCCTTAAAATCTATGGGCAGGTTTTTTTTTCTTACCTAGGCACCTTGTAGTAAATGCCACAAAAACCTTTGGTATGAGAATCCTTAAAATCCAACAAATTGAACAGTTTACTTTGCAACATTGTCCAGTGCACTGGGTAGACACCAGTGA